TAAATGTTATATGTATATATTTATATAATTATATATATATATATTATAATTAAACTTTAATATAACTTCATATGAGAGAGCGCGAGAATATTTAAAACATCATACCTAGTAATTCATGTAGAGTTATACGTCGACTGGCCAGCAACTCCTTACTGGCGCTCCTGATCTCGAATATTAGTACCGACTGCCTCGGTACACCGTCGCCGTCTATATGGAAATCTATGCTAAATTGAGGATTAGGCATAGCTGGCAGGAGTCGTGATTTCGCGATAGTCTTACCGCCGTTAGGCGAGACAATCTTATCTGGACTGGTGCATCTGGAGAAATTCTTAATTTAATTATCTGTCGTCAATTGATACGACCACCATCAGTTATATTAATTATATTTACGTTTGAAGTTTTACTCGGCAGTACAATTGGGCAATGTGCGCTACATGGAGACCCTGCGCCTGAAGAACCTTCCCTTCCACTCCGGAATACTTCTCTCTAGTGCCGTTGACAATTTTTAAATCTGAAAATCCAATGTTCTATTTTATTTTCAGCATTAAATTGTAAAGCTCTAATTTTTATTCTAAGAAAATAGAAGGCTATTTATTTAAAAAAAAGACTAAATCGATTACCCACTAACCATTCGGCCTCAATCTTAACCGTGGACTGGGTTGCCTTATCCTGCCTAACATGTCAGGTTGCGACACCGCATGAGCAAGACCGGATTCCGACAAGAGCTCCGTGGCGTCAGCCTCTCCGCCGCCTCTGGGTTCCAGACTTAGCGTGATGCCCTTATTATCATTTTTATCCTCTATAGTTACTTCCGAACGAAATCTACGAAGTTTTAAACCCCTCTTCACCTACAATTACGAAATATCTTAAACTGACGTTTCGATTATGAATAATTTGACGCGTTTACCTTCTGCTTCATCATGCGAAAACTGTTGTACTGTGGTAACTTCTTGCCGAAATTTTGTTCAGGGCTGGGTGTCAAGCTATGATGGGAAGATCGCCTTTCTGCGATCACTTTGGTGGTGTCGGCCTCATCGACGGAATTACCCGCGACTGATTCTGTAATGACTTTCGGAATCCAAAAGCTCGACGTCCCGTTTATTTCATTCGACTCTTTGCTGGTGATGCTAACTTTATCTATACGAAAAAAATATACCAAATTTCTAAAACCGTATCGAACGACATGCTGTTTATAAAAGTTTATATTATCAAAGATAAACATAATATAAATATATATGGGAATATAATGAGTTTTCAAACATGACATTACCGGACTGGTTGGATGTGGTTGGCTTCAGGAGAGTGACGGTGCGTGGTGGAGGCGGAGGAGGTACAACTGGATCCAAATGTAGACGTATTTTAGATCTTTCCATAGAAGGCCTTCGCACAATACTCGACAAGGAGTCAGGTTCGGTGTTCAAACGAGAAGAATTGTCGCTGACATTGCTGGTTGCATACGTGCTTTGTGTCTAGAGCAAATTTCAAGCGAAGATTTATAATAAGAAAATATTCGAAAAAAAAATTACAAGATGACGCTCACTGGACACAAAGTAACAGTAACATTCTAACAATGTTAATATAATTTCCTATTCAATAACATAACTGTTATGTACAACATGTGTTATATTATACTGTTGAGTAGGAAATTATAATGTGATATTACTGTTCGTGTTTAACGAGTGCTGAAGTTACTATTGCGCGAACATTACCTCGCACTCTTCCGATAAGATCTTAATTTTCAGCTCTATAGATCCCGTTTTGGTTTCTTTGAGCGGAAACCAATGGGACTGATCGCTGTTTGATAGCTTTCTGATATCATCAAGAGTCAGTGATACTTTCCCAAGGTAATCCTTCATACCGAAAGTATCATGATCCCATAATACCTACAAAACCAAATTTTTTAAAATTATCTTCTCTATTTCAAGAAGAAATTTCAATGCAAGATGTATAAATGTGCATAATTACGATATCTAAAGCTTCTCCAGTCTTCGGCAAGCCCATTATGGAACTCTCATCCCAGCAAGGATTCAGCGTCTTCTTCTTTATGCTGCTTTTATATTTTGTTTCGTTGTTCAGTTTCAATTCGCAGAAGGGATCGCTGAACCCATTCAAATCTTTCGCGACGAGATCTTTCGCGCGCAACAACGTCACCTCCATCAAACCGCTTCCAGTGGACAGGAGACTGGATATATCGGAGGAAGCGGGATCGGTGTCCTTGTGCGTTAATAACAGCTTCTAAAAGTTTAAGACTTGAGTGGGCACACACATAGAAATTTTTTTCCGGATAAATATAAGACTTTATACAGACTGCCTGTTGCATCCATGGCAAACTGTTTCGTTTGATTTTCGGTTCGTCGTCTAGCGTAGTTGGAATCAAGCTGCTTCTGCGACTGTTAACTACTTGCTGTACACTTTTGATAGGATAAAACAGGACGGAGATCGTCATGGTGGAGGCGATGTTGGAACCGCTGAGCGTGAGTTCCTTCCTAACGATCCACGTTGTGTCCTTTGAAAAAAATTACTTTTTATCGAGATTTTTTTACAGCATTGCAAGGTAACATGTGCAGTTACGTGTAACATAAATTGAAGAATTTAAAACAAAAACAAAATAAATAATCTGTAAAGTATATTTTAAATACCACATCCATATTTTTGAAATAGTTCTTTCCAGATTATGGCCTCCTTTTATCTTTATAATGAATCGTCTGATTTCATAACAATATTTGATTACCTGAGACAGAGATAGCATAGCCAATCCAAGCATGTCCGTATCCATTGATTTTACTATATTCCATGAATAAATGACGAAACTTAGCGACACTTGCGTGTAATCCTGTACCAAAAATTGCGCTCTGCAGTCCCAAACCGGGGATGTAGTTGAGCGAACATAATGTGTCGTTTTTACCTAAAAAAAAAAAACACATAGAACGTCAACAGATATATTTTGCACAGGTATAATTGCAAACATATTTAAAAATTATAAATTGTATTTACCTTCTTTCGATTATTAAATAACATGCAATAAGGATTACACTGAGCCATATCGCCGTGAAGATTGTCAGCTGAATGAATATAAACCACCAATACCCCTGAAAATTACAACGCATTACGACGCGAATATATTTTTGTGTCGATTCATAAAAAAAAAAGTACACACAAAGACTCCCTACAAATTTTCATGGAAAAGCAAATGATAAAAGAGAACATATAGGTTTAGCGTGTTTGAAACAACTGTCCGACAAGAGTCTCAATAATATATAAAACCATCAAGCGTATATTTAATTAAACATTGCGTCAAAGAACGTTACACACAGTCATGCTCAGATTTCACCACGATATTTCAATTAAATTTACCTGCTTTGTGCGCTTTGTGGTAAGAGTCTCGCGACACTGAAAATATTTCAAATGATAATACTGATCGCGGAAAAAAATGTTCGAATATTTCATAGAGATACATTCGTCGTGATTTAATATCAAGTTACACACAGTATCTTTTTTCCTTTTCATATATTCTACAGCCTTGGCTATAAATATAAAAGAACTTTCAATTTATCGTATTTTCTTGGAAAAGGCGGTAATAAAAGTCAAAGGAAGATCAATAAAATATTATAATTATTATGAATAATATACACTATTCAACAAAATTAAATTTACCTCTTTCACCCTGTAAAAATAGGCAAATTTCAAGATGGAATAACTTCGTGAAAAATCATTGCATCGAAATGTTTAAAAAATTTTACAGTTTACAGTTTGAAATCTTTGAAGTAAAGGTTTTTACTTTAATGTCGAATAATTCAGTGAAAAAAAATCATAGACTCAATAAAAAAGCAAATTAAAGAATCACTCTTTCGAATGCTGAGATCACATTTTAGCGTGCAATTTTTAATTCGCGTTGTGGAATTTTGCAAATTTCGTAAAAAATTTGAATCTTCATTTATGTTTGCGTAACTCCATAAAACTGTTTTCTAAAGTGCCGATCTGAAAAATAGAGATTTCAAGTTATAAAATTTTTTTTTAAACATCTCGATACGATATTACTCTTCACGAAGTTATTTCATTTTGAAATTTGCCTATTTTTACAGGGTGAAACAGATGATGTTTTAATTTTGTTGAGTAACGTATTTCAATAAAGTTATTTTTTAATAAAACTTTTTAAATTTATTTTTCGTTAAATATATAACATTTATGTCAATTTGTGAGGAGGAGGGCGCTTTACACTTATGGTTATACGTTATATATTTTATATTTGTCTTTATATACCTGCAAGATGCATATTATCGGCCGTTAGTTCTGGTTGTGGTAAATCAGGATCCAAATGCGGCAGAGTGGTGTACTCTAATCGCGCATTGATATTTGGAATATTAGCACTATTGCGAGACGGTTTCTTTTGTTGCAACACTGTTTCAACGCTATCAAACAAAGGCAAATGGATTAACGGAGAATATTAAGTCTAGTCGGAAACTCGTATTCACGTCAATATATAAGACTGAAGAAATTGACGTGATACTCGAGGGATGAAGCATAGCGTGTAATTAAACGCGATCAATGCGACTTACATTTGTGAATTCTCCCAGTCATAAACTCCTAACGCTAACTCGAACTGCGCTAGAGTGATTGTACTAACAAGACGTTTCGCTTTCAGCTTGATGGTGATCCTCTCATTGTCTAACGGCCCGACCAAGAAAGATACATCCTCGGTCCACGTGGAACTCAAGTTCGAAGTAATTCGTCTTTGATCGCCCACCGTTACCGCGAGCCATCTCACTTCATCAGCGACGTTCGCTAGCAATGGGGAAAGGCCAGTTAGGGACTTTCTAACGAGTCCATAATAGTCTATAATAATGATTAGCACGTCCATTATAACTTATAACAATTGCGTGTTTGACAGAAATATCATCTACAATATAAAGTAAAACCGTACGCCATAACTACGTTAAATCACGCTAAAATAAAATTTAACGGTCGATAACCGTTCTTTTTTTCTCGATTTTAGTGTACGATTACTTGCAGTCTTCACCTTAAAGGAAGACTCACCAGAACAACCATTTTGACATAGAACAACGGTGAGCACTCCTTGCGGCAACAAATTGATCACGGAATCCAATCCAGGACCCGGTCGCTCTCGCGCTCTCAGGTTCAACTCCAAATGGCCTGGGTCGACCAGCCAGCTGGCCAGAGCATCCGTGACCACCGCATGAATCCAAGTCTTGATAAGTGGCATCTCCATCATCTGCACCGCTCGTAGGATTCTTACGCTGAACCAGACGTCCGGCTTCTCCAGGAAACTCAAGCTAAGCCCGGTTGCATGTGGAAACGGCGCCGACGCGTTCAGTGTTATGTTAACAATAATTGTGCCGGACAGCGATAGCTTCTCCACCGCCAGGTCGATGTCCATCCCCACACTGTCGAAATATTTACGAAGAAAATATCCGTGAAATTATTTTAGAATAGAGAATAGATTTAGGAAAATTATGAGTGAGATCTTGATATCAAAAGCATAATGATTCGGGAGGAAGAAAAGGCGAACTTGAAATATATCGTACGAAATTATTAGATTTCTAAATTTAATTTCGATTAAACAAATGAATTGCAATTAATAACACAGCAAAAATGCAAAAATGAATTAATATTTGCAATTTTATTTAAGACGTTCTTGAATTGTTTTTAATACAGTGAACACTTGGTTCCTCACCCTTTACCAAACAACCGCGTGGTGATGAGCATGCGGAATTGCTCGCAGTCCAGCCGTAGGTCCGCTTCGATGGACAATTTAGTCTGACCGAAGAGGCCATTGGGAAGATCGTCATCGCTGCAGCAATCGAGTGTTCTGATGCGAGTGATACACGGCGTTTGTTCGCCGAGAGTGAGTTCGCGTAATTCTAATGGGCCTAAAAAACGAGTATCTCTTTAAGAGCCACGATGAAACCGTTAAATGACCAAGTAATTTAGAATCCTTCGAGCGGTTAGTAATTAATTTCTTTGACGAACTTCTTTGGCTTATCTCTCTTTCTCTCTCCTGTCGCGAGTCGCGTAACATGTATTACACAAAGTGCTCTTACCGAGTATACCGGGTTTGGCTTCATTAAGAAGAGGTTCCAGTCGTTCCTTCGCCAAAGAAAATATACTGGCAGCGCTGAATCTCCACCTGGGGAAATAATATTCGATACATAAACAACAGTTCTAACACATTATAATCTACCGTTCTATCAGAATTTAATCGAAACTTTAGTTTTTGTGTTATCAGTTTATTAAATTTATATCACAGAATAGTTTCAATCTAATGAAATTGTTCAGAGCCTTCCCCTTTTCTTGAATCTCTACAAATAGAATATCTCGAGAAGAATGCGACACGATTCATTAAACATTCAGTTTAATTAAGTGAATGGCCAGATTTTAATACGATAAAGCGCTCTTTCGAGCGTGAAAAACGCGTACTGACGTTTCGGCGCCATAACGGATGAGTTGTTTCCAGAATTCATCGTTAACGACATCCCATTTATGTCATCGATAACGATTCGCATATATACGATGGCCTACGCGTATATTAAGCTTTCGTGAATAGATTAAAGGAAAGACAAGGTAAATTAACACGTGCCCACGCACTTGTCATTTTTTAGGATGCTTGAATAATATTTTACCCGTCCCAGTCTGACGCTTTTAAATTTTTCATTATAAATACTCTTGTTAAATATATAGTAAATATAGTTTTTTTATGCACACTTTAAATACATAAACATTTCAAAATTATTTTTTCTGCTATTATTATATAAACTCCTTATCTTTTTATTATTACACTTTATTATGTAAATAGCTAAATAGATAAATAAAGCATACAATTTTACGAAAAACTATTAATTACATATTTATATCACTACCTTTTCTAAAAAGAAAAAAATACTTTATATAACATAGAAAGAATAGCTTTGCTGTAATATATTTGAAAGTTTATTTAGTTAAATATATGTCTGAAAATAATTATTTTGGACACGCAAGCACGATGATAATACCGAACAAATATTGACATTCTAGCAATCAGCTTAAGTTTTCCTTAAGTGTTTAATATAATTATTTTGAACTAACACATAAATTATATTTTCAAATCTGTGTATGTACACATTAGTTAAATTTTCAGATACTTTAGCGAAACCGTTCTTTTCACGTAGAAATTGTTTTCATATATCAGAACATCGTGTATACGGAACTTGTATTCTTTACAGGATCCCATAGAAATTTTTCCAAAGTCATCGTTTCCTGCATTCGCACATGATCAAATAAGCGCCGTCAGTTTCTTTATGCCCATACAGTGTAAGTGTGTAACATGTTGAATTCACTGCTTCTTCCCGGCATGTAGATTCTTGCTAGTCGGTGAGAAACCCGCAGCCGGAGCTGTTTAGGAATACTCGAACAGGTCTATCAACTATCCAAATAAGTAGCACCCTTTCCACGCCTTATTGCCGCTTGCTGTACAGAGCCGTTCCTAGCCGCTGACAAACGAGAAAGAGGTGGTGCGCGAAGGAAATCGCTTGAATGCGTCAATGAGACCGTCGATACAATAGTAAATTCGTTTTCTTATTGTTAGTATATAAAAATTTCTTCGAAATTAAATAACAAATTTTTTTCAAACCAGAAATTAATTGTAAACTTTTTTAGAAATTTTTCATCACCTTTGTTTCCAATAGAAAATGGTCTACTTTTTGATAAATTTTAGCTCTAAAATGGGTTTGCCGTTATCTATTTCTCTTGTATATTTGTTTAAAACGAATTAAGATCCTCTGTATATGCGAGCTTGTACGCAACTTTATGAACCGACGGCATTTTGCAATTTATTTAAACGCGGTCAATTCTACGACTCGTTCCGTTCGACATGTGTCGGCGATGGCGACGGACAAGGATTTTATCCGCGGCATAGGCAGCAGAAACGTGAAAGGCCACATTTATACTTACGTGCGTCAGGAATGTGGATATGTTTACAAATGCGTATATAGTACTCGTTTCTGAACGAGGAGTTCATTCACCCATTGTCCGATGCGAGGACAATCGCGATATATACCCAGCGGCATTACAATAGCGTTATTACCGCGAATCGTAGCTATACGAAAGAGCGAGGTCAGGTCACGAAATATGAGTACAGTAATAAAGAATATATATATATATGTGTACATATCGCTACGTTACACTTACATAAACTTCTCGAGATACATTCTCCTTTCTATTATTTTTTTATTAATCGACAACACGTTATACATAGTCATACATAGTCATATCAATTTTGAATGATCAATTTCTCTGTTAGAAATTTGTACCTATTAGGGTAACTCCGGCAAATACGCCGCGATGGGACTTTCCCTGCAGAAGTCAGAAAAAATAAAAGAAGTGGGAGTAATTTTCCCGCAATTACTTTGTTACCTTTACGTTATATTAGTATTGTGATTTCAGCTTCTAACTGATAATATTGATAAAATTATTGTGAGTTTTGAATCGATTTGTCACAGTAATAAGTAACGCCATCATAAATTATAATATCTATATTAAATGATTAATGTAGGACGTGTAAAAGACTTAGGGGTTGTTTCGTGATACGTACGTGTAGTGGAATAGTAAAGCATGTTATGTAGCAAAATACAAGTGCTTTGCTTTCATATTGTTTGTTTAGTTTATTGTCTTATATATCCCACCTGTTTGGA